CTACACAGGGCCATGGGAAGGTACTGTGCTGTTCTTGCACCCTGTCGCTGAGCTCAGGGCAGGGTTTGTCCCAGCTGCAGGGTGCAGCAGCCCTGACAGAACCCTGGGAATGGCAGCATCAGCAGTATGTTGGGCACAGGTCCACCCTCAGTTGACTAAAGCTTACTGAGTTAAACCAAGGTCAGACATGTTGCTTGCTGGAGAGGCTTCTTAGGCTGTTAATTTGTTGATGGCTTTGTGAACTGCTGAACAAAAGAAAAGCACTGTTTTTCTGAAGGTGTGATATGCCTGGATGGTACCTGCTATGTTTTATGTTGGTACTGTCTGCTCAGAAATTGTTTGATGGTAGATCACAGCAGTGTTCTTGTGCAGTGTTAGCAAGTAAATGTCAGGATGGAACCTTTGAAATACATGTAACACCAAGTAAGTGGGCAGAATATGGAAGGAATGCAATTTATCATCTAATTTCTAAGTTAACGTTCCAAATCTGGCCGCAGCAGTTGTGCGCACTGAATGCCTAGTAAGGAATTGTGTGGTGCTCCACTGGAACCGTTAATGCTTGGGCAAACAAAAGCCCTAAGGTTAAGCTCTGCTTAGTGCTTTCCTGGCCTACACTTGCAGACTTATGAGGAGGGTGCAGAAAAAGCCAATTATGAGCATATGGTGTTGTCCTCTGCACACCCTTTCTTCAAAGAGCCCAGTACGGCTTTGTCATTCAGCTGTTGATAGGGTAACATCCTTAACTTTCTGCTTCTTTTTCTTGCTTAAATCCATGCTCAATAGATATTATTTTTTAATAAGGTAAAAATGGTAATAATAAGTTCTCTACAAGCTTGTGGACTCATTCTGTTACCCCTGAGGAAGAAGCAGAGTGCAAATACCTCCTCATGGGATTCAGCTATGTAGGGGTTTTTTTCAGCTTTTTTCCAGGCTGTACGTGCAGCATTTGGGTTTCTGTAGCCTTCTAAAGTAGTCTAGTGAAAGGTCACGTTTCAGTTGTTACCACCTTGAAGTAGCAGGAGAGCACACACTGTGAATTGATGCTGACATCCAGGGTGAGGTCCTCACGCACCTCTCCTGCTGGTGGGAAAACCTCTAAGGGGCTCATCCTTGTCTCTGCCATCAAAGCAAGGTGCTGAATTTAAATCAGACTGGAGGCAGCCCAAGGGTTTATATGCCTGACTAGCAGGGATTCACTTTTAAAATAATCAGCCTCTTTCTCTATGCCAAAAAAAAAAAAAACCAGTAGGAGCAGCAACTGGCAACTATAGCAGTAAAATACTTGTATTATCTGCTAAAGAAATTGTGGGTCTTTGGCATTCTAACACTCTAATAAAAAATTAAGAAAAAACTTAGTGGTTTTGTAAAGTGAAAATCTACAACAGATGTCATGTAACATCAAGATGAAGTGAAAACAGTACTTGGGCCCTGAGGCACTCGGTACTTCTCATTTCAGAAGGAAATAAAAGTGAACTTCCAATCACAGTTAAGTTTGGGGAACACTGTGGAAGAATCCCTGGCTGAAGAAGTGGGGGTTAAAAAGGATGCAGCAAACATTTTAGGATACTCACAGTGTTGGAGAATAGTAGGAGTAGAGATAGCTCCAATAGGCTTTCTCCTGCTTTGAAGTTGTTCCTCTTTCCAACAAACACTGCACAGTACTTAAAAATGGGATGTTGTAAAATGCTGTAACCTAACAGCAAACCTGCCCTCTTATCTGTAGGGGCTTGATTTGGTGAGAAATTGAAATGTAATTTATTTTTTTCCCCTTCCACAGTGAAGTACAGGCTTGTGAATCTGCTCTTTGTTTAGCAAAGGGAAGCCAGTGGCTTTTCCATGGAATATTCTCCATGTCTGTGATGTTGTCTTGCTGATTTTTGTCTCTTCTGCCTATGGAAGCTAGGCCCTGCTTCAAATTTCCAGTGTGTGGTAGCTAATTACAACACACATACTCTTAAAAATAAGAGGAATAATGATATTCCTCTTAATAAAGGAATATCATTAGTTATAAAATGTCTAGTCTGAAGGTTCATGGCTAGGGGATGGAGAGTCCAGGGCTGTTGCCAACTGGACAACTCAGGCTGTGATTTTGTCCATTACTGTGTTTTCTATTTATGTACCTACAAAGCAGAGATGACAAAATTTGTCTATGTCCTAACTGCTTTGAGCTCTTAGCAAATATTTATGAACTAGGTGCAGGAACTCATCAGGAGATGAGTAATCAAATTTCTCCATCTTCTAGAATCTTGTCTCTTCCCACTTTACGTAGCTGTGTCTTTCAGTCTTGAGAACACTTTCCAGTGGAACTGTTGAAATTTAGAACAAATACTTTTATGCTATGGGAGCACATTAACATCATGTTAAACTTTGCTTCATCTTCCCCACTTCAGCTTATGCTCATGTTGTGTTCTATAACACCTCCTGACATTTAAGATGAACTGTAGATATTAAAGATTATTGAATTGTTCCCACTTGAATAAATGGGAACTTTGCCATTGGTTCCTCTGCAAATAGGATCAGGACCTGGACAGATGCATGTAATGTCTTGTAAGACACCCTAATATCTTTCTTCCTGAACAAATAGGACTCCATGTATTTCTGAAGCTTGTCCTCCAGCTCCCTGTGACATGCCAACAACTACTTTTTCAGCTGCCCAGTACATTATAATGATCTTCCCATTAATTTTCTGGAAAAAAAATCAGCAATGTGGGATTGACCAAAAGACTCTCAGTCACAGGTGCTAAATTATACCTGAGTACAAAGGAAAATGCGTTAAATCCACAGGGGAACTCAATGAATTCATAATGAGCTGGTGCTGTCACCTTAATAAACAAATGCAAGAGAAGGCCTTACAGAGTTGGCCAGAGCTCTTGTTTTTGAGGATCTACAGGCACAATAAATGTTACTGTGATTTTGATTCAAGTTCTACTTAAGTTTTGTTTAAATGGTCATCACAGACATGGAAAAAAAATAAAGTGTAAGACTTTATCTAGGTCTTGTTTTTCTGGAGTGCTACACGTAACTCGCAGGTGTTCCTAAATATGTTAGAACTATACTTCCTGCAGCTCAGAATTTCCTTGAATCAGGGACAGGATTTTCGAAGGAAACTTAAAATCTCAGGATTTTATTTCCCTTACTCTTGCCCCACCAGGAAGCATACTCTGCAGTACCGGAGTCTCAAAAACATGAAGTTATGCAAGGGCTTTTTGTGAGCCCAGGCACCACACCCCACACTCCAGTGACTTTCATAGAAGCTTAGCAGTCACCTGGAAGTACTTGGTGGATTGTGGCAGTGTCTGAAATAGCTTGAGATCCTGTGAACTGTAAAATGTACATCACCAGTACCATAGCATATCACCTTCGGATTCAGCAAGGGCTAAACCAGCTGCTGAATTCAGAGGAAGATGTAAGCTGAGCACTAACTTACATTTTCAGGTGTAGAGATGGCACACTGCCCTGTCAGTGCCCTACTGACATTCCTCCAAGCACTTCAAAGCAGACCAACAGCAATAAAGAAAAATGGAGCCAACAAGACTGAGTTTGTCCCTGACCTGTTTTTCAATGAAGCCAGAATACATGTTCATTTTCTGTTCCATCCTGTTCCCGCAATTTACCTTCAGATAACCAAAATTATGCACTTTCTCTGAAAACAAGCTCTGAGGGCCTATCCCCAACAGACCACATGTGCTTAGCTATACTAAATAAGCACAGAAAGTGCATCATATCCTGCCTGTCCTGCCACAAACTGACTCTGTTTGTAGAAAACACAGGCATGTTTGTCTGTTCTAGCCTGAATCCACTGGATTACTTTAAAGCAGCTTAAACTTGCTTGTTTTGACCCCTGGAAGGCCAGGCACTGCAGGTCTAATACCCGGGCCCCATTTCCAGACAGGTTGACAGCACAGGCATTTTCACTGGTGTAAGCAGCAGCACAAAGAAAAAGTAAATAAATGTCCACTGAGCAGTGACCTTGCTAAATTACAGCAGGTAGCCTGAGCATCTGCTGCAGGCAGCACTTACAACGGGATCATAGGAACACACATTAGCTCTGGAGTATTGATCCTGCAAGGATCAGTGGAAGGACATTTCAATGAGAAAATGAATAATTCTTTGCTCTGATTATGATGATTAATTCTGTTATGTCAGCAGCCTTTGGCACTGCCAGTGACAGCAGATTTCATAAGGGAAAAACCTAATTCAAGAGCCAAAAACCTTAAAGAGGAATTTTGTGCATTTTAAGAAATAATATTAATAAATGACACACAAGCAGCTATAATGTTACATATATGCAGAAACACATATACTTTCCTCAGTTCTGTATAAGACTTTGTACTGATGTATAATTGTTTTGTATTTGGAACATCAGCCAGGATAAAAAACTGGCATTGTTGCTGGAATTGACCAGCCAGATGGACTCAACTTGGAAGTCTTTGGACTATATAAAGTTGAGCAGAAATTCTCTTGCAGGTGCCAATTTCACAAATAAGTGATCAGTGTTGAACTGGCAGGCATTCTGCTCCCCTCATTTCAAATTTGGTTATGCAAAAGACTAATCAAGACATCTATCAGGTACATCATTTAAGATGGCTCTTCGCTAACACATGAAATCGGAGGGCCCTGGAGTTCCAATCTTTGAAGGGGATTTGGCTTTCAGACAGTGCATTAACTGGTTTCCTCTCCAGTTCTGAAGGCATGCACTGACTAGTTGTGTTCCTTTCTCCCACAGACTTTTTTCCCTCGGGTGCCATATCCAAGTTGTGCTCTTTGTCAGCTTGTTTTTGTCTTGGATGCATTCCAGCTCTTGTCTTTCATGCATTTGGTACAAGATGCATTTAGGAGGGAAATATTGATGCCAGGTTCTCCAACCCTGTTTTATTAGGAAATGTTCATTTGGCAGTCCTAACATCACTAAAAATTATTATCAAAGGGATATGCTCTGCCAACATATGACCTTTAGCTGTTAAGAAACAGTAGAGAAAAGAAAGCACCACAAAAGCAGGTAACGCAATAATCAGTTCAGATATTTGACAGATAACAAGAAATGGCTCTCTTGCATTAAAGCATGGTATTTAGAAAGCTGGAGCAGCACTTTAGGTGGCTGCCCTGCTGTTGTGATCTGTCAGCTGTAAAACATTCCCCTGAAAAAGGAAAATAAACTCCACCACTTAGATCTGTACATTGGTAATTAACACGTTGACTTTCAAACCAGAATCACTGCAAACACTACTGCAGGTGTCACCTCCTTGCTCAGATGTGTTGATCATTTGCCTTGTACCAGCACCCTTGCACAGAATAATATTTGGACCCAGCACTTTGAACCTCGCTGTGTTTTCTCACCTTATCAATTCATATACGGGGTTGTTTCCTATCTAATTTTATTCTGTGTGTGTTTCATATGCAAGGAAAAGAGCTGAAGGCTGGGCACAGAAGAAAACAGTCTCTTTTTGATCTAATGGGAAACTGCCTTATAGATTTTTGTGGCAGAGAGGATACATGAACATTTTTATTGCCATAAAAGTTTTGATTATCTGGGGTGAACTTGTAATGACTGCATATAGCCCCACCAATTAATATCTAACACTAAAAATGCTGAAAGGCTGATGGGCAAGTACACAGAAAAATACATTAATCTGCCATACCTACATAAACAAGGAAGTTATTTTAGTGTCAATTCACACTTTGTACACAACCTGCTTTCCAACTATTCAAGGGAGATCAATATTTATGACAGTTTATTAGAGAATGCAGTTGACTTTTATTGTGCAGACCAAAAAAAAAAACGCAGTCACCAACTCACCACTGCATTAATGTATGAAATCAGTTAACAAAATGATTGTAAAAAATAACTTAATCTCTGATGAGCAAATGGAAGCAAGTTCTACAGCTCTCCCACATTCCCATGTTGATACGAGAAAATGGCATTGAACCATTATACTCAGTAACTCAGGGACACAATCTTCTGCTGCTTAGGGGAATAAAAATATTCTGATTTTTTCCCCCAGTCCCAGAACCATTGGTTCATATAAAAGAAAAGTCCCCCTTGGAGTTACAGCAGAAGTCCCACACTGTTAATTCTCTAACTTTGATATGTAAGTACCTGATAGAGCTATCCTACTGGCGTGTACACAACTCAGTGAAGCATTGCTTGGCTCCTTCCAAGTGTTTTTAGCTTGCCAGCGTACTAGGCTTAATCTTCTGATTCCTCATAATGTGCATACCCACTAGCATAGGTCCTTCCTAAATTCAAATTGCTGAAGACATCCGTGGCCTCAGAATCTGAATCCTTCCCTCCCTCATCATTGTCATCTTCATCATCGTCTTCTGCTTCGTATTCATCATATTCATCCTCACGGTCACCTGCATCTCCAGTCTTGCTGGAGGAGAGGTTTTTCCAGTAGGCATCATAACCAGAAGCTCCATCTGCATCTTCTCCTCCAGTCTGTCGGCCAAACTTCAAGGAGCGGGCTGCAGGCAGAGAAAAACCATCATGTTCCCACCCCTCAACAGCAATCCCACGTTCCCTTTCTATCCCTTTTTTCACTACTTGAAGAGCGCACGATGTTAGGCAGTCTTCTTCTAAATCTGACATTTCCAGATTCAATCCTTACTCTAACAGAACCTTTCTGCTGCTGCACACGGAAGTGCAGCCAAGTCTGTATAAACAGGAACTGCCCCCCAGGTATGTCTTAGGTTTTTAGCATAATCCTTTGGTACTCTAGCCAAGAAGACCTGCAACTGGATGTGTGCTTTGCAGACACAATACATATGGTGATTTATTCAAGAGTGGTTGGGGTAGATTGTATACATATCAAAACACATTTTGAAATTCATTAATCAGTTTCTTGTACATGAAATAAGGATTTAAGTGGTGATTTTTTTTTTTCATTTTTTTCCACAACTAAAATCTTAAACTAAACAAAAGCTTTCACTGTATTGGAATCAATTAATGATTAAGAATGAGACTGCTCAATTCTATAATTCAGAAAGTTCTTCCCAAAACAAATGCAGCAAAGCTGTGCAAAACAATTAAAAGTAACCAGATTTTACTCAGTGTTCCTAGGCAGAAAAGTAGTCACCAATGGCACTTGTATGGCTTGTTAGCTAGAGAAGCTGGCTTACTTGACATGCTCAGATCCTTTGTCTGCTGAGTTTCGTGGCCACATTTAGGGCAAGGAGGCTCTTTTCCTTTTTCCTGCTTGAAGACCTTACTTCGCACATGGTCGTCACAAAAACAAGCCTGTGGGTTGAAAGGAGAATAAAAAGGCTAAATGTTTTAATCATAGAAGCATATTCTTCAGCAAGAAGCAAGCAGAAAACCTGTTTTAACAGCAGCAGGGTTTTCTGGTTGGGATTAAAATGTAATGAGGTCTATCTGCAGTGGATGTGGGTCTGTGCACAGCACAACCACTCTGTGCTGAATGTAGTTCCACAGCTTCCTGGGGAAGAGGCTGCATAAAAGTGCCAAAAAACAAGCAGAGAAAGTAATGTACTCGAGGGCTGGATTGTAGTGCTGCCCACGAGGATCCTGGCAAACCTGGGTTTACACTGACAAGCCTAAATAAAACACAATGAGATATTTGCCAGAACATTATGCAGTGGCCTAAAGGCAAGAATTAGAGCCGGAAAGTTCACACGTTGAACACCAGGGTGCAGTGAAGATACCCAGAGAAAGGAACAATTTGGGATATGCCATCGATGCCATGGGAGAGTGCAGGGAAACATATGGAGGGTAAGAAGAGTAAGAGCAGGCAATGAACCAGCATCTGGAGAAATCTGGGCAATGCTGACGATGAAGCAGGTGGAACTTTTTATACAAAATTATTTCTGAGTGTGTAAAACCACGAGCCTGATGTCAACAAGTTAGTCTGTTCACATGTAAAACTGGATTAGCTGTGGAGATTATTTCTGTTGGATCCAGGCTGCAGCAATTTCTGCTCAGATTGACCATTAAACTTGACTGTTTAAAAAAAACAACAACTTTTTTAATGATTGTAGATCCACACTGTATCAAAACATATTACAAAGCTTTGGATTCTGTTCAAAGCCAAGGATTTGTTTTGTTATTTTGTTTTTTTTTTCAAAGACCCAACATGGTACAGGCCCAATTTAAACTAAGAGGGCTGGACGAAGTGAAGATCACCTCAGCTGGCATAATGATGCACAACACTTGCTAGTGGTTAACAGGCAAGCACAGATAAAAGACCTTTTGCCCCCCAGAGGTCTGCCCCCTAAAATATAATACAAAAATATTACATTTTTTTAATAATGGAGAGGAAGACATGACAAGACCTGATACCAGCCTTGGAGACCAAGAAGAATGAACCTAAAATCACAGCTACCCACAACTGTCTTTACCTTACAACGCAGGCACGAATGCTGCCCAAGCCTGTTACAGGAAACACCTGTTGGAGAAAATCAATATGTCAAATTCAGTACTTGGAAACTGCAGACCTGTGATGTGTTTAAAACCTTGTAAAAGTATGTAATACCATTACTGAGGCATTTGTTTTTAATTCCCTGATATAACTGTACAATGGCAATGTGAAACAGCCATTTTACCATATAGTACCCTTTTACTAGATTTTTTTTTCAACCCTAAGCCTCATGGCATTAATGTAATCTGATACCAAAAAAAAAAACCAACCTCAAGAGGGGAAAAAGTTTAATTATTTCTTGAGCTTCCAAACTTTTAAAAACAGAAGTTTCAGAAGAAATTTGGTATTAAGCGACCATCTTGCTTCTCCTTTTCTCACAACATCAAAAGAAGGAGTGATAGCGACGTGAGAACACTTAAAGCTTGCAAACTTCCAAACCTAGGAATGTTATGTTCCATATTTTCTGTCATATCATCTGGAAATGCACTTGATTGCACACAAGTTCATACGAAAGTCTATCTGTGTTAAAGAACTGGACCTGGCACACAAGCTATAAGGAGCAGAATCAGTGCCCAAAATCTAACTTGTCTTGAGCTTCAAATTGTTTTTTTATTCCACTAGAGGGAGTACAGTAAAGGCAAACACTCAGGAACTGGCAGAAACGTGAAGCTGGGTGAATAGTTACTCCTCAAGAAGCAATAATATGTATTTTATCAGTCTCTGTGTGAGTATTTATTCCCTTTCACCTTGCTTTGCCCCTGTGACAGTGAAGTTTTTGAATAATAAATATCACGAGTTCTCCACATGAGCAGGACAGCCACGGGATTTAGAGCTCTGTCATGTGCTTAAAGATGGAAATGATAATGCATTTATATTTGTCATTTCTTGAGTATCTGCACTTTAAAAAACTTCTCTCAGATAGTGATGGGAAGTAACACTACCCTTTTCACAGCTAGAATGGATTTAGACTACAATTGCATGACCACATTTAAAGTTTCTGTATTCTGTAAAAATCCTGTATCTTTTCCAAGTCAGTGCTGTGCCACAAAACATTGAACACAGTGAAAAAAACCTCAAAAAAACTTTCGCCCTATTCAGGGTGTGATCACATCTGTGAATTAAAAGCTTCCAACAATCATTGAAAAAACATTCTTGTGGAACAGTTGTTGCTGCTTCAGCATTGCTATGCAGGAAGGTATTCAGGCAGAATACATCAAGGGAAGCTAAGGAAGGCTCAGAGAACAGCTGGCTGGGAACAAAAGGATGGGAGATGAAAAAGAGATAAGAGATTTCTACAGACACCAACTAGAACATTGAAATCAACAAACATTCTAAACCAGGAGAGATAAATTAGGACAAGAGATTGGTCAGTTCTAAAGAAAACAGTCTTAAGATAAAGAGCACCTTGAATTTCTACAATAATGATTGAAAAAAACTTTATAGTTAAAATACAGGCAAACAAGTTTTAGAAAGGACAAACAAATGTCTCATGAGATAAACTAAATAGTCATTCATGGTGGATAGAGAAGGAATACTTCTACAAAAATTTAGTTATTTCAAACATGCATAGTCTTGGCTTGTTGGTGTTTTATTTTGTGGGTTTTTTTTTAACTTCCCTTGAAATTTCCCTGTTTGAGCCAGAGATGAGCAGCGAGTGAGCAAAGTCAGGCATTGCCATCATGTCCTCTTATAAACACCAGTTTCAGTTTTGTCCACACAATTAATCAAAGTTCAAAAGGACATAAAGTCTTCAGCTACCTGTTCTTTGCCCAGCAAGAGTGGACATGTATCAACACTTGATACATTACTGATACACATGTCCACTGGTTAATGAGGAAATGAAAACTGAAATCATGCTCTGGATTATTTTTGTCACTTCTTTCTGTCTCCCTGAATCAGAGGATGGCTCCTGACTGAGTCATGGCCTTCCTCAGGACTTCAACAGCTGCCAACTCTTCATCAACACACAGGCCTTCCACAGCAACGTGGGAAAGTTTAGCCAGTCTAACAGAGGTGGCATTGTTTGGGGCAGCTGTTTTCCACGAGGAACAGGTATCTAGAAATAGCTCATCACATGGTCAGAAGAGTGGAAGACAGCTCCTCCTGCCTGCAGAGCTTTGTGGAGTAAAAAAGCAGCATCAGCAATTCCAGCTGTTTTGCTGCAGTCCTGGCCACTGCCAACACTCCAACTTTGGAGACTGCTGGCTCCTGCAAAGGCAGCTTCCCATGGGAGGCCTGTAAGAGCCTGGCAGGAAAACAACTGCCATGTATACTCTGCCATGGAGGAAGGTCAGAGACAAAAGTTCCAGTCTGGATAACTGAATACCAAGAGCTGGCACATACGAAAAAGGCAAAAGCTGGGAAAGGTGATAACAGAGCATTCTGGAGCACAGAGGAAGCAAGTGGAGACCCTGCTTAGCTGTGGTGAAAGGGACTATGAATAACTAACTCACATTTAAACGTCTCTGCTTCCAGAACTTGGCAGCTGGCTTGATGTTCAAACTGATCGTCTTCACAGAGGAAATCATGGCAAAAAGAGCAGGCGAATATTCTGCCTCCTGAAAGATTTATCAAGGCAAAATAATCAGCAATGGGCACAGGCATCAAGTTCTGCTCTGCAAACAGTTTAGGCAGTAATTCTGACGGAAGACCAGGTCTCCCTGGCCTCACTAATGCTTCAACAAAGTCCTAAATTAGGCACTGCCATCCATTTCTACACTGACAAATACCTTGTTTCCTACAATACAAGACAGCATAAATATAAAAAGAGTATTATTTCTAGTACTTTTCTTTAATTCAACTATAGCGTTAAGTATTTTCCTTAAATCAGATCATATTCTCATCCAGTCTCCTTCCCTCCCACCCCCTTAGCTCTGATATAAGCTTGGAATAAACATTTTAAAGGATTCCACAAATCGAGACCAGTATGGTTTGCTAAGCAATCTGGAATCCAAATACCTGTGCTAGTGCAGAAGAACAGAGTGGGAATGGCAGAAGACTCTGTTGGCAATTTGATGCAGTGCTTAATTATGCAAATAATTAGGCTGATAGAACCATTATACTTTAGATGACACAGTCATCCCTGACTTGAGCACTGTATGTTCTTGAGCAGGTTGTTTAGTTTCCCCACTGCATAATGTCTATTTTTAAAACGGGGAGAATCCTTGCTTTGAACAAACATACTTGCAAGGACTAATCAGTGAGGAATAAAAACGCTGTTAAGAATAAAGGTGTAGTATCCTAAGCAATACAATTTACATTTTCTTATTTTTACATGTGAGCAACCTACCATGGTCCCAGACACTTCTTTCACACTCAATACATTCTGCATCTGCGAGAGGGCAGATACACGCGTGTGTGCTGAGACACTTCCTCCCGTGACACACCCAAGCTTCACAGAAATCACAGATTGCACCCTGCAATTACAGAAAGATTATCACCTCTGGACTTCTGCAATACCTAGAGAGACACTCTGACTCCTCAGTCCTCAGTGTGTCCTCGTATCCCTTCTCTCAGTGGGTTCATTTCGGTTGACTGGGAGAGTACTGAACCGCATCTGTATTCCTATCAAGCTGCTCCTCAGTTCATCTTGTTTGTTATTCATTTCTGCAGGACTAAATATGATGGTCAATAACTTGGTTTTCTCCTTTTTCTGTCTTTTACATTTATTTTCTTAAATTGTGCGCATGAAAATTTTGTCCTCCAGTTGAAACCTGAGATCCACAAAGGATAACAGTGTTTTGGCAAAAATGGAATTTCAAAAAAGACATGAAAAATGCCAATAGTTTCTTACAGCTGAAGTCACTCATTCAGATTTTAAACCATGCTATATTAGAGCACATCCCTGCAGAGAGCAAAGATCAAATAACTCATTAGAAGTAAGTTAGACTCTTTAACTTTCATTTTGATTAAATTACAAGATCTTCACACCAGCTATCCTTTAATGCAGCATTTAAGAAGCCTCCTCAGCCCATATGTAACTAACTACCATGTGCATGACATGCACACAAAACTAAGAAAGCAATGTGAATGCAAAATAATTTTTGAGGCATTCACTATTGCATGAGTGAATGCATGGGACGAGTTCAAGAACATCAGAATGTAAAGGCAAGCTGTGTTACTGAGAAAAGCTGACTGTCAACTGGAGGGGGAAACAGGACAGAGGTTTAGTCCACATAGGCTTAATCTAGAGGCTGTCACATGTCAAACCTCGCTTTCCAGAATGGAGACACCAACTTGTCCTTCTTAGAACAAAAATTCAAAGGCCTGAAGCTATGATTATCTTCTTCAAGAGCCCAAATGAGGGTTTATGTTAAGTAAAATTCCTCCCTAACACTATGGAACAGATTCCTCTCTGTGATACAGATGATCTCTGCAATACTAAGACAACAGTAACAAAAGTCTGCAGGTCTTTGCAGAATGATCCTGGATTGTAATAAAGACTGAGAATTGGATATGGGGCATGTAAGCTGCAATGCTGTTCATGCATGTGCTTAAGAGCCTGCCACCAAGACAGATCCACTAGCATCCAGGATGTGTTGGAGCTTGCAGGAGCTGAATCTAAAAATGCAAAATTTGGGTTTTCAGTATAAGGGAAAAATCAGTTTCTTATAGTAAAACAAGGGGGGAAAAAAACTTGGCACGGTACATGCTATCATTCCATAAAGCTGTTCTATTTTCTTTCAGAAAGATTTGCACAAAATAACCTCATACTGCTAAAAAGGCTTTAATTTTGTATACATACCACCATTGCTAGTCCAGTACCATACACACCAGCGTGTTTTATGACACAGTCTGAAGACTTCATCATGCATTTGGTTTTTCCTGTTTAAAATAAAAAGGCAAGCAACCATAAGAAAACTATAGAAAAAACAGTAGAATGCACGTTCATATAACAACAGCACTTCACTAAATACCTGAGCCTAACTGTAAATCTAGGTAAAAATAATGCAAATAAAGATGTCTGAATTATTGCTGCATCCTGCAACCCACTTTCACATCTCCCTTAGGTTATATTATTGTCTCTTTTCAGCCCAAACCTCTCGCCCCTGTACTGAGATAAAAAGGCAATGTGTTGGTTTTGCTCTATGTTTTGAGGCAACGGCAAAAATGTCAAATGTCAAAACAAACCAAAGAACAAAACTAAGGTCAAACTCAAGCCATGATATCTTAAAAACCTGTATTTAAAATTGCTGCTGGTTCTGTCCCATCATAAAAGCAGCACATGCTGTGTGCAAGGCACAAGAAAAAAACCCATGTGTTTAATTACTTGCAAGTACTTGGATACTTGGTTTTTTTGGTCGTTGGTTGTTTTGTTGGTTTTTTTTCTTTTTAAAAAAACATAGATTAGTTTCTAGAAAAAATAATTCACTTTAAATACAGGGGACAGGTGGGAGAAAAAGCCACAGCCTGCACCTAAAAGTCATTCTGACACAAGCAAGCAGCAAGGGTGACAATTTTCCCCTAGTCCTTGTCTCTGACATAAATAGCTCTACCAAAAAGATCCACACTCTGTCTGCAAAAGATCTTGTAGTCAGCTCAGGCTACTGCAGTGGAGTTTTATCACTGATTCAAGTTGTGCTGCCATGGACCCCTTTGGTGTGTCTGTTATTGCCTGCTTAGAGAAACCAACAGCAAGTTGCTCCCTGCCCACCCACTCAAGGCCTGAAAAACCAAATTCTACTCTGAAAATATTTAAATCCCAGTATGCAGAGTTTTGTATTACACCAAAAGTCAGTTACCAAAGGGCCCTTGGAGGGTGAGGAAGTACCAGTGGTGGGCTGAGCTGGGCAATGAGGGGTGGGAGGGCATTACTCAGTCTGGAGCACTGTAGTACAGCTACCTCGCTCCCATCCCTCAGAGACTTCTCTAAGAAAGGTGCTGTTGGTTTGTAGTGTCTGTCCCCCTTGATCAAACATGAAACAGCTCTGGTGGCCTTTGTTTGGAAAACCCTTGGACTCAATATAATTTTATGGTTGTTGATAGGAATGCTTTTCCTCTAGAAACATACTCCAGATTAAAATAAACTCAACACACAGGAGTCACCTTCAGATGTGTATCATAAGACAGAGAGCATGTTTTTAGTACTTCACTGCATGATGACAGAAGGAAGACTCATGAAGGATGACACACTGCCAGTGCACAGTAACAGCCTGGCACCCAGAAACGCTCAGAATCTGCAGGTCACAACAAAGGCACTGGAAGCTGCAGATGTCAGCAGCTCTGAGAGTCAAACAACAAAACAGCCAAATTGCTTAATGACAAATTGAAAATCTGCAAGGATGTGTTGGAACAGTGAAACAACAAAATTCACCTCAGTAAGAAATGAATATCGACATCTGCAAGCAAGCAGCTGTTTGAAAACAAAGGGCATCTTTGATTCAGAGTAGAGCTCCATCACTAGGAGTCCTTTTCTTCTAATTTCAAAGCATCAGCCCTCTAGCCCATATAAATAAAATAAGCAACATACTACATTACAACCCCATGCAAGATGAATAATGTACTGTTGCTTTAATTGATACTGAACTGACTAGAAATTATATAATCCCTAAAAAAGCAGTATTTATTGGTGACTTGCCAGCAGTCAGAGCATTCTTAGTTTTGCTACCATTACCAAACAATAGTCCACATGGTAAATGTAGGGAAACAGTCAGATATTCTCAAACCCAAAAGGCAGTGAGACAAATTCTTCCAAAGATCAAATGCTGAAGACAAGTCCAGACTTGCAAACCTCTGGAGGTCAGAGGCACACACATTAGTGCATGACCAAACAAGGTCACTTCTCAAGGAGGGTATTCACAGCAGATTTAAAAGAACCTGCTCCACAAACCACAAAGGTACTTCTAGACAAAGGTACTCTAACAAAGGTACTGAGAGTTTAACACCACAAACAGGACTGAGGACAGTTTTCATTCATTAATTCTACTCACCACATTGTGCACAAATGGGTAATTTCTGAACAGAGTTACAGAAGTAGCAAAAAGCTCTGTTCTTCTGTCGTCTAGGCACATGGAGAAGGAACCGAAAGAAAAAGAAAGCAAGCATTAAAAAAGACCCATGAAATGTTTGAAACCAATTAATATTAAACTACTGGGTTTAGAAGGGGAAAAATTCTTACCTTTGGCACTTATCACATTCCTAAAAAGAAGAAATAAAACACTGGTAATTATTTTCGTTCTAGGTAAAATATATAAAATTTGCAGACACCCACAGGGACTCTGAATTCTTATGATTAGGATCCAAACTTTCTATTCAATATTATACATCTAATGCAAATGTAAGCTTAAATATAAAGGAGAAACAGTAGGAAGAATGACATTCTTATGGCATTAAATACATTTACGTATTATCACCGGTTTAACATGATTTAAAATAACGTGTTTTAATATAAAATACTTTGGGTTATTTTACCATTGAAGCATTACAAGGATGTTTGGCCAAATCTATGTTGGCTCTTGAAGCCCTTATCTGCTTTTCACGTTCTCGACGGTTCTCAGCTTTCTTACGAGCACCAGTCTTCTTTTTAGGCATATTCACTATCTGTGGGGGGGGAAAAATAGGTATGTGACGAATGCACACAGAATTATGTATGTAAGTACAGGGATACACATGACACATCCACTAAAACTGCATCTTGGAGTTCACAGGTTAACTGTGCTTTGTCCATTTCCTTTTCTGAAAGTTTCTTTTCAAAGGCAGAAGGGGCCAGTCCATGAGGAAAAGCCATGTGATGAACCATAAAGAATCTTGTGATCTGAAAAAGACTTTGCTGTTCAACTTTGTGTTGAACTATCTTTGAAGTGTTCTGTCTTGGAAAAAAAAGGAAACCACTATGTTTGTGGGCTTGTTTGTGATGGGCCTCTGGTTTTGGTTTGCCTTGTCTGTTTAATAAGGAAAATATTCAGCTCATTTCCTCTTTCACATCTTATTCTCAGTAACTGCTTCATTCAGTTAAAAAGCATTCTTCAGGTAAGCAAAAAGTGGTGTACTGCAAAAATGCAAATTTCACACTTCATGAAGGCTGAGAAAACAAAATGTCATTATACAGATTTAAGAGCTATGACAAAGGGATGTTTGTACTGCTTATTTATCATTCTAGCATATTGGCAATAATGAAGAGATGAGCATGCATTGCTTTGAAGACACCATTGTTTTCCAAAAAGGATTCACACTAAGTTAATTCTGTTTGGTTCCATTCTAACATTCTAGGAGGGAACCAGTGCAACACAGTGGTGAGACCATCAGGCAAACAATCAGACCACTGGTCTCTTGCCATGTCCACGATGAACTGTGCAGTACTCACATATGCTTAAGTTTACTTTGTGTTTATAATAAATTAGCAAGGATTATCCTGACTCCATGAAATGGACAACTGAGAGATTCAAGGTGTGGCCTGATGTAAGAATTTCTCTCGTCAACACAGGCACTTCCTTAGGCTCCATCTTTATCATCCCCTTATTTCTGATGATGTAACTGTTCTTGGTGTCCTGTTCTAAAACAGATACAGGTTAAAAACAAAACTAAAAACAAACCAACAAGCACCACCAAGGCCCAGATTAGCACAGTCTGATGGTGGAAGACGGTCAAAAGGGGCAGCAGTTTACTTAGCAAGCATGGGAATGAGAAAGCAGCTAAGGATGAGGTGATGATCACTGACAAAAACTTGCCTGTTCTAAAAAAATACTCTCAATTCTACGAACCAACTTCTTTGTATTGCAGCTACCAAATCACACTTCCTTGCAGACAATAGAATGGCTAAACATCTTTCCAGGTGTTTAGCTCTTATTTTGGTACCTCACCAGTGCTTGTTTTGAAAATCTGGCCTCTCCAGCAAGCTGCCCCAACACATATTGCACTTGTACAACTAACCCACAGTTCTTTTAGCTACAAGTACACCTACCAGTGGTCCTTGCTCTGCCTCTGATTTCTAAATCTGCAGAAAAACATCTTCAGACAATTGGTAATTGAGACTCAAGTGTCATCCTAACATCTCAATCTCCACTTAAGGAGTTTGAAGAAAATCACTGCAGACTTGGAGCTTGGCAAAAACTGGCCCACACGATGAGACAGCTCTGCCCAGGTAACCTCTGATGATTCCAGTAGAGTCTGTGGGTGGATATTAGGGCCACTGGCTTAAGGAAGTGAGAGGTACCTGCTCTCCTCAGCCTCCTCCCTAACTCCAAGCAGACATGCATGCTACCATCTGTAAGGATAGTTTCAGCCCCAACAGGCAGCCAATTCTAGCATCTTAAACTTGGAAGAAAAATGTTCAAAAGGTCTTATAAAATAAACTGAAGAATCCTAACTTTTCTGAACACAGAAATATATTGTCCTGACCAAATACTAAAATTTGGGTTTGATAGCACACATAAATCAGTTTTCTCACCCTGCAGCATTTTGCACCGTATTTAAATTGTATTAGTGCCATATTTTGTAGTCAAAATTATATTGCTGTGCTGCCTGCAGGCAACTGTCATCATTCTAGAGAGTGACATTTCAGTCCGATATGAAGCTGCACACGAATTTTCAGACAACTCAAATGCTGATTTAACAACAGAATCTAATGGTTAGTATTTATACCTAGACTTCTTCCCATTACCTCATAATCCAAAGCACCAAAGTGACAAACTGTTTTCATGAAAAGCACTGCCTCAGTGACTACTGAGGACACAGGTTATTAGAAACCTTCTAGGTGGTAGTTTTTAGAAAGTTGCACTAAACTAAGTAACAACAGAACTGCAACGTCAGGTCCTTTTAACAAAGCTATGGAGTCAGTCCAGGCTTTCAGACACCATCCAGTAACAACAACAGCCTATAGATCAATATTCTTATCACTCTTTCCCTCTGAGCTTCCACTTAAGATTTGTTTGTTGTCTTTGCCCTGAGTTCAATTTTTTTAGGAAACTTACCTTGTTTTAAATTTTGGATTAGAGCTTAATAGCGTTATGGTTCCAGAAATTATGACAGCATAAGCTTTGTTTACATGCAATTCATTTCAAATCAGAGTATCGTCTCTTTTGAAACCACTAATTAGTATTTAAATGCCTCTGCTGTATGTTCTACCTCCACTTGTGACACACCTTTGCCAAATGCTCGGGCAGCAAAGACCCGGTGGAATCTGCTGGCTTTCCCATGCTCCCCTGAAGGGTGCACGGGAGAGAAAAGTGCATCTGGAAGACCTAAAACAACAGGTTATAGGTCCACGCCTGGTTCCCTCCTCAGCCCCAGAGGGTACGGCCACGCTGCCCCATGCAGTGTGGGAGCCCCTGAAATGGGAAGGGTGTTTTCACCATTTGAAGTTTCCTACTTGGGAGCAAAATGCTGGGCCAGAGCAGCAGCTGCAGCAGTGAGTGTGGCTCTCCAGCTTAAGGGCTGATGCTGTGGCACGAGAAAGCACAGAGTTTGGATATCAGAAGTGGTGTTGGGGAATGTTTAGGTTGGGTATCAGAAAAAGGTTCTTCCCCCAGAGGATAGTTACGTGCTGTAACAGGCTCCCCAGGGAAGTGGTCACAGCTCCAAGGCTGACAGAGTTCAAGAAGCATTTGGATGATGCTCTCAGGGGCATGGTGTGACTCTTGGGGATGGTCCTGTGCAGGGCCAGGTATCAAAAGACTGTGTATGAGGTGAGCAGCAGCTCAAAGCAAAAGCCCTAATATGTGTTATGTGAGTACTGGGTCTGCAGCACCGTGTTCCATCCCGTAAATTTTCACCTACTGTTGCTCATGTGCTGCATTATATGCTGAGGTAAACACAGGCAAAGACCACAGGCAGAACTCCCACCATAGCTCCAAAGACTGACTGTGTATTTTAACTGATGGTTGTGCTGTGTAAGATACATTAACAACACCTGGTATCCAAGTTCTGCTGGAGTCACACCATGCCTGTGCCTTCTTATCCTTGCGGAGGTCCCAAAGACAAACACTGACTGCACCAGCAGATTTCTGGATCTCCTGTGCTGAGCAGGACATTGCCTTGTGTTGTATTATCTTGTGGTATAGGAACCACATCATGAAGAGCTGAAACAAGCAATTCATTGGTGGGGCAGGGGAGCTGGCGGGTTACCCTTGTCATCCCACAAACACCAACACCCAAAAGAGGCTTTCTGTATTCCAAGCATTCTTATACTTGACCATCAAATACTTTCTACCTCACACATATTCAAAATCTGTTTCACCACTCATACAAAAATTACAGCGTTAAAAAAAAAAAAAAAATCCGCATTAGCAGTAGTTCATAAGAATTGTCCTGGCACTGTGATTTGCCGTGACTTCATCTTTTGGAAGCAAAGCGGCTACAAACTGCACCGTGGGACCGCAGCGCCCGGGGACTGCCGCGCTGGTCAGCGCCCAGGGCTGGAGGGGCTTCCTCAGGCACCTCTCCGGCACATTCCCCGCTCGGGAGCGGCACCTCGTCCCGCCGGGAGCCCGGCGAGCCCTGCCACGGCATCACGCTGCCAACCTGGATGGCCGCGCTCCGTGCTTCCAGGGACCTGGACACGGGGAATCCAGGCACTGCTTCGCTCGCTAGGGCAGGGAAGCCGCGGGGAACGGGAACCCTCAGCGCCCCCCGCCCACCCCCGATCGTTCCCAGCCCTCCCTCCCACTTCCCGCTCCCCTCTCCCACCTCCCTGTCGCCGTTCCCGGCTCCCTTTCCCCGTTCCCAGCTCCCTCTTCCCCGTTCCCCGCTCCCACCTGGCTCCGGCGGCCGTGCGGAAGCCGGAAGCGCCGGCTCTCCGCGGTGCGCTGCCCGCCCGGCCCGCGCCGCCCGGCGCGAACGTTCCGGGGGCGGCCGCGGGGGCCGCGCCCGAGGGGAGCCGGGGAGGGAAACAAGAATCCCAGCATAGGGATCCTGCCCTTTCCCGGCACGGGATCGCAGTGCGCCCGCGAGGTGGGAGCCGGGAAATGGCAGGTGTTCGCGCTGCAGGGAAAGGTGTCGCCAGAGTTTTAGAGGGAGGCATCATAAAACAGGACTAGTTGGCACCTGCGTCTTGCGTGCTACGAAGCACTTGGTGTTATAATGAGAACTGCACCCTGCACTTTCATGTTTTTCGATTAAAAAAGGGACACCTTCCACTAGACGAGGTTGCTCGGGGAACCACCCAGCCTGGCCTTGAACACTTCCAAGGATGGGGCACCCACAGCTCCGCAGGGCAGCCTGTGCCAGGGCCTCACCACCCCCACAATGAGAGTGTCCTCCTTGTATCTAATCTAAACCTCTCATCTTTTGCTTTAAAACCATTCCCCCCTTGTCCCATCACTATGTGCCCATGTAAAGAGCCACTTTCCCTCTTTTTTAAGAGCCCCCTTTATGTACTGAAAGGCTGTGGTGAGATCTCTCCAGAGCCTTCTCCAGGCTGAGCAACCCAAATTTCAATAAACTCCTATATAATCTCTCTACTCACTTAAAACATGCCATTGGTTTCACTGTGGTTCGGAAATCATTGAAAAAGCTTTTACAAGCTGTTTGCATTGGTGTTCCTGCTCAGTGGCTGTTCCATCCTCAAGTTTTGTTTACTTTTGTGTCAATTGCCAACACAACTTTCACTTGACGGAGACCAAATTTAGGACATAATAATTGCAACAATTAGTTGTGATTGTAATTGGCACCTAAGAAGTTGTCACTGAAATATTTAATCAGTGGCTCCGTTTTTGAAATGAAGTATTGATTAATCTTAATGGTAGGAATACAACGTAGTTTAAAAATGGAAATAATGTCCATGCTATAAAAGACCCCTGTCCACAGCTCTGTCTGGCCTGAGGTTATACAAGTCACTGTCATGGATGGATATTGTCTAGAAAACCCTTCGTGAAAATCATTAGAAGGTGTGTTGTATAGATATTCAAATGAAAATGAGTGCATAGATCACATTCCAGTGTATTTCAGTCTTTTGCCTAGGAAGGGTTTGATACATATTTCATACAAATAAGTCCTGGGGCACTGTTTTGTGTGCTTTGATCATCCATTCCCTCGGGTGGGGTGATTGCGTTGCTTCACATTGCACTTGGTCATGCATTTCTTACTGAAAGTTGGCTACTGGTTATGGAATGTGATTTTGACTTAGTGGAAGAGGCAGATATTCACTGGCCACCATCACCGTTCCAGGAGGAATCTTCTAGTTTTTGTGAGGACTGAGTTTTATCTCCCACAACAAATTGTTTGCTTGTCACGCTTTTCCTTCAAGATGTAATCTTCACACCAGGTTACTGGGATGCCCAGAAAACAGCATTATTATTTAGAGACAAAAAAATCATGATAATCACTTATCTGAACATTTCTTCTTCCTGAGCAGGGGTGTGGAGAAGTAATTTTTAATTATTGTCAATAGCCATGGCCACATGCTATTTACCTGACAGCCTAAGTAGGAAATATGATCTTTTGTGAGATGTCAGTGCTTTTATTCGTGTAATTCTCACTTTTCTTAATGAAGGCCATTAATCATCAATATTCTTTTATTCTGGTTGTTACCATTCTAATCTGTTTTAGGCAGCCATAAATGCAAGAACACGATGAGGATAAATGATATAGCATTAGAAAAAATACAAACAGAAAGTTTTAATCTATTTTAGAATAATTATCCTAGTCAGCTAATCTCCTTTCATGAGTGAAGGAAGCTGTTGAGGAAAGGACTCAAACAGAATCACAGAGTCACAGCATGCTCTGAGTTGGAAGGGATCCACAATACATACTGAGATGTGATGATTTTCTTCTCATTTGATTGGGCATTTTTTACATAAAGTCATGAATGAAGAAGAAGAAGAAATCTAGAAAAACCCCAAGGAGACAGGTGGACATCAAGATTTTTATCGTAGTTTTACTTTATCCTGTGAAACTGTATCTGCCTCGAATATGTTCCAGAAACCACCCTCTAGATGGCAGGAGTTTGTCACTTCACTCGTGAACAGTAAACCGTCCTTTTTTCAGAACAAGTAAAGTGGCCTAGGGCTGTAATACAAGTGAATAAAAAAATAAATTAGATGGGAATAGCCAATTTGGAGCTTACAGAATTTCTATTAGCAACACTGGACTAGTCTCTGGGGAATTGTTGCAGATTTGTTGTTGCAAAACTACATGCAGAAAATAGTGAGAAGCAGCCTCATTTTTAGAGGTGTTTTCGGTGACCTTTGTGAGAGAAGCAGTGGATGGGCAGTGAGTGTGCCTCTGAACTGTTGTCATTCCATATCACCTTACAGAGAATCAGAACTGTCATGTCTTTGCTTAATGGCCA